ATTTCGACTACCCAGTTTTTTACTTTGATGGGATTTGTTGACTGGTGTTACACTGGCAAAAGTGTGCTGATTCGAATGGTGCCTATTTCGATTAAATCCGATGAGTATTAAAAAAGTTACGATCGTTTAAAGTGAAACACCCAAAACGCTGAGAACTTTCCGGACAACCTAATACCAATAGTGATCGGTTAGTGATCGATTCAGGGAGGAAACAGCCAGTTATGAAAACGTTGTGGGCGGGCTCATCCTTCGCCTTCTGGCACCTCCCTTAGTTAACATCAACTGTGAAATAATTTTGTACTTAATGTCTTTTGCGAAGTAAAGTCCTATTAAGTTTCTTAACTCTGCCAAAACTTCGTAGAACCCATTCAAAAACTTCTAATTGAAACCAGGTGAAGATTGAGAGGATTGTGAGCCGAGAAGGAGAGGATGTTTGTCTTGACCAGGAAGGAACCTGCTTTTCACGGCCACCCGGCGAACTGTATCACGAGGTATTAGGTATATTGTAGCGAGCGTCTATGGTACGCTCTATGTGGGTGTGACTCCTTCATTTCATTCGCCTACCCATTTTCTGTTGTCTTCCACTTTTCAAACTTTCGGAGGTCTTCGGGAACCGAATTACGAATTTTTGAAATATGTAGCTCACAGCTCAGCGCACGCCCCCCCCCCACAGTGGGCGGGGCTTAGCTCAGTTCATGTGTGTTCCGTACATCTTGGCCCATGCCCTACCCAACACACCCTTGACCCGGCCCCTCACACTGGCTTTTCAGGTGATCCGGGCAGACGGACGGATGGATGGAGGCACAGACAGACAGACAGACAGACAGACAGACAGACAGACAGACCTAGCCGTTCACATATAGAAGCTTAACGCCCCTATGATGCTCTTCTTGTGGGAGATTGTTCTAACTGCTACCTAGAAACAGCAGTCTATAGATTTATGGAATGCATAAATAATCGTACGATGAAAGCTTGGACACTTTTCCATCAGATTTTCAATATGAGATGAATACATGAAATAAAATCAATACAATCTGACCGTAACTCAAAGAACGAGATAGGGATTTCGAATCTCTTAATGAGGCTGTGAAGGTCCAAAATGCCATCCATGAAGTTTTCGAAACAATACATTTTTAAAAGAACTACACTATATAATGTAGGAACTACACTATATAATATAACGCGAAAAAAACAATGTTCTAAAACTATTTTGAGTAAAAGATGTGGGTGTAGTCCTCATCTGGATTGTCCGATTTTGTTATGACGTCCTCTTTCACTAACGGTATTCCTTGTCGTATCATATCGATAGCTAGGTCAATAAGATAATCTATACATTCAGCCCTGAAACAGAGTACAATTTTTACCAAAACCTGTATAGAACGGTGAATAAATAAAGACTTACATAATTTTTGCCTTCTCCCATGTTGATCCCCACACAAAAAGTCCATGGCTGCGAACTAAAACCGCGCAGGAGCGCTGATAAGTCTTCAAGCATTCGTCCAAAGCGGGCTGAAACACATATTGCAGAGGGGAAAAATAATTTTGACGCAACAGTTACTTTTAATTTCTATAACCCTGCTCTCAGAGGTACAAACCTCATTGCATGGTCTTGTTCGCAAGGGATGATGAGGCGTGTGAGGGAGGTGACGGGGACCGCTTTGAGGCCGTGCCATCAGGTATTTCTCGTTTTATTTTTTCTCAGCAATTGAAAATATTAGGTTGGCGGGAAAGTTCTGTCATATATTTTTGAACCCAAAATATTTGCTAATTACCTGAAGAGCGTTAACCGGTAATGTGAGCACTTATACATCAAAGAATGGTCTTTCTATTGGTATCACTGGCTTGACTCCTGCTTCTCCTTATTGTGCAATATGAACAAGAATGTTATCCGCTACCTTTGGCACCGACCCCTCCAAGCGCTTCCTCAAACTCTTTCTTCTACCGCCCTGGCGCCAGCATGACAGCTGTTGATGCCGAAATAATGGAGCTGCATAAGGACGATGTCTACGATTATTAGACAACCTTCCACGACGCTAAAGCTTCAGAGCCGCAGCCTACAGTTTGAATGACGAAGTGAGGTTTGGGTATACCTGTGAACTTAGCCTGAGGGAGCTGTGGGTTGGTAAACTGCTGGACGAAGAAGCTGCATCCTTGGTCAATCCGTATGCAAAGCAGCTACGAGAGCTGAGGCGAATCGTCGATCAGAGGGAAAAATTCGTCCGCACAGTCCGTCTTCAACGTGATGGTGCAGCCCCCTCCGTCCAAAAAAGTTCGAGCCGAACTTCATGCAAAAGAGCTGGATGGCTCTCCCCCTGCACCGGTGTACCCCAGACATTGCTCATTCTAACTGCTAGTTACCTCTCGGACATAACCGTATGGCCGAGAAAACCTCCACGACTCGAGCCCAAGTCAACATTGAGATGATGTCCAACATTGCGTCGTGCCAGCCTCCATTGTGAAGCGATGGCATCCACGAAGTGCTCGAAAACTGGCAGGGATTCCGCAATGACATTGCTGTATAATTTTGATCTTGTACGCCTCTCTATAAAAAGAAAGCCTAGTTTGAAAAAATGTGACAGAACTTTCCCGCCAACCTAATACTACCATATCGTTCGTATCAGTCGTTTCCCACCAGTTTTTGTCGCTCACCCTTTTAGCAGCTGGTGGAGAACGGGCTGGCAACGCGCCAAACCCCCGCAGTGAATGAAGTTGTGAGCACGTTCACTAAAGACAGTACCGCGCTGCTATCCGGTGGGTTCGTTCGAGGGATGTCTGGATAATATTGGCATTTTGCCCAGTTACCTCTTCAGGATTTATTTTGTAGAATTTTCTCTGTATCATAATTTACCAGCAGTTGTCCCTCGTGCGGTTGATTTTCGATAATCGGGATTGTCAACGTGTCTTCGTAGCCGAAATTCTTCCCAGTAAAAGGATCGTAGACACCTGAATGTGATTTTAAAATCCTTGCCAGTCTACTTTACAAGGATTTAAAGGCGCATTCCGATATCGGCCATGTGCAGCAAGTCCCTCCTTGGACAAAGTGGACCAGACCGCAATCGAAGGCCCGGAAGGGATCGGCAGGGCGTTCGGGCCCATCCTTGTGTACGGTCTCTGGAATGGTTCCCCCCTGGAACGGATGTTATGGGGTTGCGTTGATACCTGCCGCCTCTTTCTTTTCCCCAATCTTTGCCGTCTCGGGCGCCACTTCCTCGATCTCAAACTGGTACTACCACAAAAAAACCTTAGGAAAAAATTTTTTAAACAATTTTTCGTGAGTTTCTGCTTGAAAAGCTCTCCGCACCTCTACTTCTATAACGGCTTTCAGTGGAGTATACGAAGGTGCCATAGTAGGACGGGGCTCTGCAGATAAACAGTACAGTACCTCCCAGAGAGTTTTGGCTACAGGCTACGCAGATTGCACTAGCGTGTCATTTTCTTTGCTTAAACGGTACGGGAATGGGGCTGTAAGGTAG